TCTGGCTGGGTGATGGCGATGTTCCGGCAACGGTCCCTCTGACAGGAAGTGGCAAAGTCCGTAAGTTTGAGATGGCTAAGCTGGGCGATGAGCTTCTGCGAAAGCATGAAGTAGCTGCGAAGCTGTAGTGCGGCGTGGAGTGGACAGGACAGGACAGGACTCGATGGATTGGATGTGTATGTTTTGGAGCGTGATGCGATTATCATTGACTTGAATTTTGGAAGATAAAAGTTTAGAACCGAGAGAAAATTGAGCAAAGGCTACTACCTATAGATATAAATGGAAAGTACCTTAGGTCGCTGGTCAGACACCCAACACCTGCCGTTTTGTTTCTTGGCAGTCCTAGGTTATGATGCATGCAAAATTTCAACCTCACATTGCAAGTTGCTAAGTCACGGGTGAGACACGGCTCTTTTATCACAAGCATATGTAGGTACCTAGGTAGGACAGGCAGTAATTTGATGATACCTCATCTAGAAACATGTGATCCAAACATACATGAACTTTTTATTGCTGTCCCGAATATCTCAAACGACCAGTATTTTCTATAAACCTATCATGTCCATCATATCCTGTTAGACAATCACAGCTTAGGCACAAGACCAAGCTTTGTACCAGCAACAACCTTCTCATTGTCTCCGAGTGGGCACAACTGGAAGAAGCGCTCTCGCGACGATCGGACGAAAGCGCTGCGCTGATGTGGCAGATCGACAAGCTTGTCTAGGCCTGAGCCGTGTACGAAGTCATACATAACAATAGTTGTATTGGTCTCCTGAGACTCACCAACAACATACATAGTGCGCGGATCGTCGAGATAGAGGTAGTGCATCAAGCTGCTCCACCACGCCGACACGCGGTGTGGCCCGCGGAATCGCACGTCACCTACAAGAGAATGTCGACCGCGGTCGAAGTCACCAGCGTTGAAGTAACCACCCAGCCGGTCCTCCTATTGAACGAGATCGTCAGAAGTGTAGCGAAAAAGAAAGGCATACGTGAACGTACCTTGGCCCAGTAGACCTCGAAATATGCAAAGTGGATATCATCCCACTTGGCTAGAAGCGCAATCACATGCGGGTCATCATGCACCTGACGCAAATACTCTTGGTGTTGCTGCAACGTTCCAGTCTGGCTCCAACCTTGGGAAACACGAGGATCGTTCTGCCATTCATGAAAGAGACGTACGTGCTCGGCGTCATTATAGTCGACCGACACCATGGAAAAGGTCTCGTTGAGGTGAGGAATCCACCGGCTGTAAACAATAGCCCCAGGTGCAGGCTTGGCTGGTCGGACTGGGTGCCATGACTGCTGAACTCTTTCTGGATCATCAGGGTCTCCGGCGACTGTGATTGTCGTTGTGTTGTGTAAAGGAGTCAAAGGGAATGATCCAAGAGGGGCCGAGGCGGGCAGAGAAGAAGGCGATTCTTCTGGGCACCAAACAGGGCGAGGTCCAAATGGAGATCCAGCGCCTTGCCAGAAGGTACTTCGCAAGACAAGGACGAGGCTCTCGTCAGTCTTGTTGGAGGCTTGACGCTTCTCCCGGCCCTTGAGAGGGTGATCAATGGCAAGCAACACTGCTGTGAGTTGCCGGCCCAGAATAGCGGCCCCAGCTCCATGTAACTCCAGCCGATATGATTCCACCGATGTTCTCAAAGTGAAAAGAGAATATGCAAGCAGCCAGACTTGACCCAAGTGTGGCGCCTCGGTGCCAACCCAATGAACAGTGACACATGGTGAACGGCGTGCCCGAGCCCAAGGACTGTTGTTGGATTGAGGTGGAAGCTCACTTGACTTCAGATCAATTGGGTCTGAGAAGACGAGGCCATCGTTATAAAGGTCAAAGGGCAACCGCTTGTCAGACCCAGGAGCTTTCTGGACAAGTTTATAGGCTGGCGTATTCGTGTCAGGTTGTGCCGAGACTTTTTCGATCGCAAACTCGGTCTGGTAGGGATGAGGAAGCTTGACGACCGTTTCGCCAGCTTTGAGGGCAGAGAATGTTCCTTTTGGCGCTGACATTGTTCAAACGGCCTGAGGATTAAAGATTGGATACTAGCGAGAAGGGTTGGAAAAGGACGGAAAAGTTCGACACACTCAAGAAGCTATTCACACCAGTATATCAGGCTGCATAAGTGGGAGAACGTATCCATGCCGGTCCTCCACTTCGGAACAAGCTTGACACGTCGGGACAGCATTCTGCATGGATGGTGTACCGATCAATTCCACAACTTTCCAGGCCATTGCACAACTTTTTCGGCTTTGGTGCAATGAAAGACTAGTGGTATTTTGGAGACGACGTCAAGAACGCAGAAGTGGACTTAGCTTGCCAAGCCGTATGGCAGCCAGGTCTCAAAGATCCCCTACTGTGAGTTGTGCAAACCAACTCTGCTCAGGCAGTCAGGGTCAAGATTCTCGTGTGGGTCAGAGCGGATCTGATAACTCAAGACCAGCCACCCCTGACGCCCACTTTCTTACTTTCTGCCTGCACACCCCCCTCCTCTTTATCCGGTCTTCGGAGCTGTTTACCTATTCCCAGGATCAGGGTCTAGGTATTGCCGACTTTGACCGCTAGCAGGATCTGATAAACCGCTCAACCACGCTAAAGGTTCTGTAGGGCCACCCACCAGTTAACCACTGGGGTGGGGGAGTGCCGGCTTCGTGATCCTTGTAAAAGTCGATTCCAAAGATTTTGACGAATAGAATGGCCTGATGAATTTCTTCGAGACCGAGTGTACCTGGAACCTCTGTTCAGGGAACATTGTCTGGTCTCAGCGGTCCAAGGCACGCATGCTTGACCCTCAGCAGTGCATCTATATTGCAGCCCTCCCACCTGTGAAGAGCCAAGGACATAGGGCCGTTTTCTACCATTTGTGTGGTGTATTTTGAAGCCACCTACTTAGTAAGTTCGGGAACAGCCACGAGCTCGAAAAAGACACACGACTTACTGTAAGAGTCTCCATGTAAGTTACGGGTTCTCAAATCTACCGAGGTGTCCATGGCGTCAGTGGCATGTCAATCGCCACTCATCTGTCAACTTGGCCGATATTTTGACTTTCCAGCATGCACGTGCACGTTAACACTGGTTGGCAACCCGGTAGCCAGGTACGAGGAGACCATGCACGGACGAACAGACAATTGAGCGATGGGATTTCCGATCCAATCTTATCAATCAAGTCTGATCTGATCTGAATCGCCCGTACATACGCAAGACCCCTCTTCACTGCAAGATGGAAGACGATCATGCCTGAGACGTGATTGTTTATTCCCGATCTTTTCCATCCAGTGTATATACATAGCGATGAACATGGGTATAACGAATCCTTGGTTAGAACTGTCGATCTTGTCTGGCTTCTCCGCTTTTCGTTCACATTCTTGGTGTTTCTTGGGCGAAGGTAACCCCAGACACCATACTCGGAATACGGCACCAGATGAGCTGTACAAAGCGATTCATGACGTGAATGTTCTGAACCTTAATCGCTATTGAATATCATAGCCTTAATTGCAGAGGCCGATGGGTCTAATATGGTGACCTTTAGTGTTTTTGTTCCTACCACATGGACCAAGACTTCGAATAATGCTCGGCTCTGGCTTTTTCCAAGTCGATGTCTAAAGACACTGCTACTGTTGTTTCAGCTTCTCTTCAAACCAACCTATGTTTGATAGATACTTAGTTAGTCACAAACCTTGAAAGTCTGAATGCCGATGATGAGACGATAGTGCTGTTGGAGAACTATGTTGGTGTAGAGGATAGGCTATGCCATAATTCGAGCCCATGATGTGATGTATAAACTGATTGGTGATTCTTCGCAGATCGCTCTCTTGTCTCAAGGTATCTGAAGCTCGCACTTTCTAGAACTCTGGGCTCCTATATTAAAACCTGGAGTACAAACTATTCGCTCATCTGAGTAACTTCCTGCGCTAGAATTCTCCATGCCAGTTTGGTATAACGGCGCTGAAACCTACGGCAAGCCAAGTCTCTCATGGAATGAATGGAAAGTCCGAGTTCCCCAATGCTCGTCATTTACTATGAACTTGTCGCTTGCATATGTGCTTTCCCGTCTCATCGTTTACTGTTATCTCCTGTCCTGCCTGTAGATTGGCGTGAGGCTGTATGTTATAGAGGAGGGTCCGAACAAGTAGCATATCCACCACAAGGATATGTCCTTGGCTCGATGGCTGAAATGTGACGGTTCGGGACTTACAAATGATTCTTTTACTCCAAACGGATTCTAGGCTCAACGACCAAGTTTTCCCTTGTTGATACACAGATTGATTATATTGCAATGTATAGATCACGTGGCCTCTAATGGAGTATGGACGCCATTGTCACGCAGAACCATGGTCGCTAGATGTGCTTTTAATCCATTACAACGTAATATTATCGTCAGATTGTTGTCAGTCTTCTCTAACAGGCATTAATGTGCTTATTTCTTCTTCATTTCGGCGGATTGCCTTTCTCCAAAAGCCCGACACGGAGAGAAGTGTCGAACAAATTTAATTGACTTACAAGAATGTGAAATCCTTCATCATCATATGTCTGAGGGTCTGGAACATGTGCAACTATCTAAATTAGAATGTGGCGATTCATGAAGTTCCCCTGGTTGTTGGAATTGTAGTCTTTATCCTTACTCTTGTCTCCTCGCCTGTCAAAATGCTTGAGGGTGGAAGATACAAGCGGGCCAAGGAAAACTTTGGATATGAGTTCGAATCGCGGATATCAACTAACATTGTAGATACGGACGAAAATACAGCCGCTTAATGATAACGGCTTCGATTCTTACCACTTCGAGGTCCCATTGGGGTCAATCTCATGCCAGATAGATTCGCCATTCGTGAACAAGATTTGAACAGTTTCTCACTCTATGAACATAAAAGAGCTTAGAATCGTATAATAGGTATCAAGAAGAAGTAAATAGTACACCCAGGACAACGCAAGGCTGTCACTCATCCTCGGTAACATGTCTAAAGATTATATCCCTAACGCCAGTCACTAAGATCGTTTCACATTAGGCCTTAGCCTCGTCAGTCTTGCGGCCACCGAGCTGCATGTAGTTCCAGCAAACTATCGACTCAGGTCAGTCATCTTAAGAAACATATCAAGGTCCGGTTTAACTTACTCGTCCAACCAAGATCATCTCGGAAGCAAGACTGAGCAACTTCTTCGCCATAAACTGTGCCTGTATCAGGGCTCGATGCTACAGCCTTCTTTCCGACTGCGAGTCCAATCACAGGAGGGTAGACCACAAGCTCCTTGAACTCTGGGGTGTGGCCTGCTCGTTGGCTGAGGATGCTTTGATGGATGTTCTGTGCTACGTAGTGGCCGTGATGCATAGCACCGCCACATCGCTTGATACCGGGCCAGTTGGTGATATCGCCAGCAGCATAGTGCGACTCGGCGTTGGGTGTGCCGTCCTGGAACTGCAGACTATGCGCGAGTCAGCAACTGGAGGTTTCAAGTCAGGAGACAATTGACTTACTTGGGCTTGATCTTGACGAGACCGTCTGCATCGAGGGCAGAGGTTGGCAAGTATGTTGAGGTCGGAACACTCCTGGAAATGGCCATGATAACCTCGCTTGCGAACATCTTATAGCCGTTGGTGAACTCAATCTCATACTTCTCACTCCCGTCAGTCGTCTCGACCTTGTTATTTGTAGCTAGACGGTGGCTCATGAGAACCTCAACACCAGCCTCGAGGAGCAACTGAAGAGCAACATCCTTGGTCTCATCAGGAAGACCTTCTGAAGAAAGGAGCTTGTCACGCGAGTGAACGAGAGTCACTCTGAGGTGAGGCTTCACCATTTTCAGCTCTGCAGCCATCTCGATACCAACAGCGCCTCCACCAACGACCACGACGCCATGCTTAGCATTATGGACAGAGTTGATGTGGTTCTCGGCTTCAAGGAGATATTGCTTTCGTGTCTTAGACTGAGGCACAACAGGCCAGACGCGGCGCAGACCAGTAGCAGAGACGAGGTAGTCGTACTCAAGGGTACTCTTCTCCTCGGTGAGGTGAGCAGAGATGGTCGCTTTCTTGGTTGCAAGGTCAACACTGGTGACGGAGCCTTGGATGATGTTGATGCTAGGGTCCTTGAGGCCAGGGATATCAGCATACTTGACCCAGTTCTTCTTGGAGAAGTTAGAATCAGCAAGAGCCAAAGGGGAACCGATCAAGTGGTCTACGATACTGTCAGAATCCAGCGCTTATCAAGTTGCTTGGCCCCGCTGGACTGCAGAGTACTTACAGTAGCCATCTCTCTCATCGACGATGGTGATATCGATGTTGAAGCGAGGAAGATCGGGATGGTGGATGTATGGCTCAGAATTCATGCGGGGAGAGTATCCTTGGCTCAGATCAAGCAAGTTGACAGCAGCAGATAGACCACCATAGCAACCTCCAAGGATGAGAACGCGCACGGCGTTGGATGATTCGGGGAGCGAACCCATCGTAGCAAAGGCCTTGGAGTGGAATGTAAGACGACTTTGACGTCGAAACACAAGACGTGACGGTAAAATCACAGATCTTACTTGGATCTGAGGCCGAGGTAAGGCTAGGGTTGTATGCAAGGAACTCGAAGTAAGGAAACGTATGGCCTGCGATAGAGTAGCGTGTGGGACTCTGAGTGGTTGTCCTGAGAACGTGAACGGCCTTGGAGCAATAAACATGAGCTGAAGGATGGGGTACTTTGAGTGGTAAGACGGGGGGAACGGGAGAAGAAATAGTTGAAGCAGTCAAGGGAAGAAGAGGTGAGAGAATATACGTAGACGAAGACCCGGGAATAAACGACAGGACCCGTTGAGGACTGCCAGTGACGCAAGGCGGTATGGCATCTGATGCGAGGAGGAATACACTGTATCCGTACTCGGGTTAAAGGCGCAAGAAAGGCTTCAATATCGGACCAAGACCGGCTCCGGCCCCGGCTTCAGACAAGGGGCCTTTCATCTCTCGGCTGGAGCCTGCATGGCCCTGTTTCTCCATCGTAATTCCCAAGAATATTGTGGCAGTCTCACAGTGAGATTTAGGAAAGGATTACGGGACCAGCCAGACAAGAAAAAGCAGCGGGGCATTCTCCATGATCACGGTGTTGGTACTGGTGTTGATGTTAGTGTGAGGAACTTCTTTGTATGTGGACGTGGAGTTAAAGTTATCAGATCCGTCCTAGACCTAGACCAAGACAGCCAGCCAGCCACCGCAAGCGACGGAATACCGTGGAACTCCACTGAAGCCGTGGCACCCTGGACAAGAGGGAAAATTATCAGATCTGACGGATGTCCGTTCTCCGCTGACTCATCCAAGAACACGCAGTCTCGAAGCACAATTCCACTTCTGGTGATGAGTTGTACAGTGTGAAGACCGTTATCAGATCGGTCTTTGGAGTAATGATTTTGACGATCTCTAGACTAATAATGAACTTGTTATGCAAATCCTCTCAATAAATTTCAATGTAGAGTTTATCCGATTTGCCTCTCTATGTTGAGAGAGCAAGGTTGTATTATGAGAGGAGCGGATGTTGTGAGCCATTTATAGGTACCTTATAGCAGCCAACCTTGGCAATGGATATATATAACATGTATTCTCAACTCCTTCACCATAGACATTCTGATGCGTTTAAGCTATGATGCTCTTGAGCCCCGAACAGTTACCCTTACTGTGTCTTCTGCGTCTGTCGATCTTGGTGTGCTATGGGTTCGGAAATCCGTCGGAGGAAGTCAGTCCCAATGCGAGGGGACCACACCCAAAGGTTAACGCTTGGCAAGCAGGCCAGTGAATGAACGAAAAGAATTATCTGATCCGAACAATCCCTGACGTTTCGAACTAGCTCGCCCCGCTGATGGATCAAGCTTATAGCAACAGGATCATCAGCAATTTATACCTTCGGGGAACTGATATAGTTGGGAAATAACGACGGATGTTGTTCTCTTGAACTTGAGGAATATCGTGAAATCTCGAATTGGACATTTGTGAAAATAATATTGACGCTCAACTCTGGCCAAAGCAGAGCCCATCATCTTGTCTTTACTGCACCATAATGCGTCTACATTCTCACTGGATCAACATCGTCAGATCCCAAATTCGCTCTTCAAGTCTTCTCCTTCTTCTTCTCCTTCTTCAGACCAATCGTTCAGCGCATCTTCTCGACTTTATTCTGTATTGGGGGCTTCAATCCTTCGCTTCTCTAGCACCGCGGCCTTATCCCTATTAGGGCTGCCAAGACAAGACCGGGGTGACTCTACTGTAAAATTATGCTTGTTTGACGGCGAACTAGAGGCTCTGCACCGGCTCCGTCTCCGTTTTCACGTCTCCAAATGGATCGTCTCGTCTGGGGCTGGTCCTCATGCCAAGACGACCATGGTCTTCAGTAAGGGATCTACAAGACCGATATTCTCGGGGCTTAGTGGCGGCGTAGCATATCTTTTCATCATGAGATTCCCTATCTTCTCTTCTTCCGCTTCTTCTGTGTAGGGTCGCTGTGAAGATCCATTGGTACTATTGCGACTTACACTGTCGAGATGGCTTCAGCTTCACCTGAGCAGCATCACAACGCCGCGACTAGCAGCGATTCTGCTAGCGAACCGACACGTCATGACTCTACAAAGGCAGACACTGCTACAACAGAGAGGTTGATACATGCGCTCAACGACCCGACTGTTGAGCGTCCACCCAGTCACTCCCCACGACCATCTACAAGATCGTCAGCTATATCAGCTCCATCTCATACACCACCAAAGAAGAGGGTAAAGGTAAGTTCCTTCAAGAACCTATAAATCCCCTGCCTTACCCCTCCCAACATCCAACTAACGCCCTGTTTAGAGTCTACGCTCGTTCTTCATCTACTTCCAGCTCCTCTTCTATGCCAACCCATCATGGGTCGATATCCTCCTCCTCATCGTCGGAACTCTCGCAGCATCGGGGGCAGGAGCACCGTTTCCTCTGATGGGAATCATCTTTGGTCAACTCGTAAACGATCTTAATACTGCGTCATGCGATGATGGAGAAATCGCCTCGCAATATTCGCCCAAAGAACTTCAGGACAGTATCAACAAAAAGGTGGTCATGATCACATGGATCGGCGTGATCAGCTTTGCGCTCATCTATACCTACATCGTGTCATGGTCGATCTTTAGCCGTCGTCTCGAGAATCGTATTCGCGATCGTTACTTTATGAGTATTCTCTTGCAAGACGCTACTTTCTTTGACAAGAGACAGGCTGGAGAAATTACATCCCGTCTCAATGTAGACATACAAGCTATTCAGTCAGGAACTTCTGAGAAGGTGGGCATCATTCTAGGATGCACATCTTTCTTTGTATCTTCGTATGTGGTCGCCTTCATCAAGAACACCACACTCGCTGGGATTCTTGTGTCACTTGTGCCTGCTTTCATGCTTCTTGCCACAGTGGGTAGCATGTTCACCGCAAAGTTCGCGACTGCAATGTCTGAGAAGATCGCCTCTGCTTCTTCGATCGCCTCAGAGGTTCTTGCGAATATCCCGGTTGTCCAGGCATTTGGGGCGGGTCCGCGACTAGAGGCCATTTTCGCTGAGAGGATGAAGGGGGCTCGAAAGCAGGGTATTAACAAAGCTTTCGTTGCTGCTGTTCAAGCTGGAATGCTTTACTTCATTGCTTACTCTGCAAATGCCCTTGCTTTCTGGCAGGGTAGCACACAAATTGCGAGCATGGTTGAGGGTAATGGCGGCGCATCTGTCGGTGACATTTATACCGTCATTCTCCTGCTGGTTGATGGTAAGCATCTGCTTCGCAAGATTGAATCTTCTAACTAACTTGAGATAGCCTGTGTTGTTTTGGGCGGTATCGCACCGCTGCTGCCCTTAGTTGGAGCTGCTGTTGGATCGTTTGAAAAACTTCGTGAAGACATGGACAGCCCTGCAGTCATCGATACTGGATCTGACAAAGGAGAGAAGCTCTCCTCGGCCGAGGGAACTGTATCTTTTAGGAACGTATCCTTTGCTTATGCCTCACGGCCCCATCACTCCGTGCTCAAGAACGTCTCGTTTGATTGTCCTGCTGGCAAACACACAGCGCTTATTGGCTTGTCAGGGAGTGGCAAGTCAACTGTCGCTGGTCTTACATCCCGAATCTATGACCCTGCTGAAGGCACGGTTCTCCTAGATGGTCATGACCTCAAAAACTTGAATGTGAAAAGCTTGAGGAGCCATATGAGTCTTGTACAGCAAGAGCCATCTCTCCTAGATCGATCCATCGTTGAGAACATAGCCCTCGGTATTTTGAACTCCCCTCAACCCGAGCATGAGCGATTCAAGGCTACTATTCTCGGCACCGGCCTTACTGAACTTGCTGCCAAGCTCCGACGGGGTGAAGGTCTTTCGACTGCAGCTCAAGGATTTGGTCAGGACATGATTGACCTCGTTCATCGCGTTCAGGAGGCTGCCCGTCTGGCGGACGCGGCTGGTTTCGTGGACAGGCTTGAGTATGGCTACGGAACTCTTGTTGGTACAGGCGGGAAGCTTGTTAGTGGTGGCCAACGACAGCGCCTTGCACTCGCAAGAGCCCTCATTCGCGACCCCAAGATCCTGATCCTCGATGAAGCCACTGCATCCCTTGACTCTGCAAGCGAACACCGTATCCAGATGGCCATTGAATCTATCGCCAAAGACCGCACTGTCATTGCCATTGCTCACCGGCTGTCAACTATCAAGAACGCTGATAACATCATCGTCATGAACAGCGGTGAGATTATCGAGCAAGGAAACCACCTTGAGCTCATGGCCTTGAATGGATCGTACGCTAGTATGGTCCGTTTGCAGACGGTCGACTCTGAAGATGCTGGCTCAACCACGAGTACCGTCCGCACCGATAACATTCACTCGGCGAAGGATTCTATCACGGATCTCAAAGCCAAGGACGTGGAACAAGAGGTAGCGGAAGATTCAAAGGAAGAAATTATCAAGGAGAAGGAGGCGGCCCCCGAGGGAGACGCTGCTCTCGATTCCAACAAGTCCGCTTGGACTGTTATGAGAACCCTCAGCGGAATGGTCCGACCATATCTCCTTCTCATTATTGTCTGTCTCTTTGCTGCCACTGTTGTTGGCCTCACATTCTCCTCATCTGGTCTTATCTTCGGTTATACCATTGACAACATCAGCCCATGTAATCCTGTTGAAGACATTCGTTGGGCTGGTAGTTTCTTCGGGGGCATGTGGTTCCTGATCGCTTGTGTCGAGTTGTTGGCCAATACTACAAGTTGGACTGGCTTCGGCATGGTTGCTGAGAAGCTGTTGTACAAGATCCGAGTCCTTTGCTTCCGCTCCCTTTATGAGCAAGACCTTGATTGGCATCAATCAGAGGGCCGTACACCAAATGCTTTGTTATCCGTCATCACCACAGATGCTGCCACAGTTGGCGGTTTCAGTGGCTCTATCATTGGTACAATATTCTCCATTGTGGTGAACTTCTTGGTCGCTATCA